GAGAGATATATAGTTGTACTAAACATCTATACTTGGCATACTCGAACGTTGGAGAGATTCCCTTGTCTGAGACGGCGATACACCAACATCAAAAGTAACAGGCAATCATGATATTCAAGATTTTTCACGGACGGACCATTATTTTTCTGGAGGGGGTGTGCATGAGAAATATTGAAAAAAAAAATTGTTTGCAGGGTCTGAAAAGACAAAATAAATTGTTTGCAAACGTGATAGGGCAAGAAAAAAATGTTTGCAGAGAATTCAGGTAAAAAGTCAAAAATATCATTACCAAAAACTGAATTTCAAAAAAAATTAAAGAAACAAATTGAAGCATCAATATAAAAATAAACACGATCTGGGTACTTTAAATTAAAAGTGGCATGGTCACTGTCTATAACAAATCCGAAAATAGTTGATTCTTTCTTGAAAAAAATGGAAATTATAGTGGCAATTAAATCTCAACGTCAACATCTTGTCCTACTGAACAACTTCATATACCTCGTATTTTTCTCAAAACTGTGTCAAACAAATAATATTCTTCAAACTTTGCTATATTTATCATTACCACTTACATATTTCAGAAGTCAATGAATTACATGAATGACATAAAATAATGCTACGTAGCGAATAATGTCTAATACGTGACGGCTTAAGGTCAGAATTTTAACGGGTTTTCATTGAAGGAATGCCACTTGCCTGGCCATTTAATGTTGACATTCTTTTATGAAATGGGCCCATTTGAGAAGTCGGTAACCTTCCTGATGATATCACCATCAAGGCCCTTTAAATGGGTCACTTACTACTTATAAGTTATTTGGCGCGACCTATGGCAATGGCAATCATCTTAAATCAGCAATGTGCCTGCCTTCACCCCGGGTACCACAGGACGGGTGGTACGAGTAGGATGGCCTGTGGGAACATCATCAAAGAGGATCAGGATCAGAAAAACAGCCGGCGGTCTGGACTGAGTTCACTCGAAGGCGGTTTGCGGCCCAAAAACCCATCGAATCGCATATTTTTTGGACCAGAAACAAAGTTCTATCATCGCTACACCTCAGTAAACGTTTAAGAGTCAATGTCAGTAAGAATCGGAGATAATCACACAGCTCAAAATTCGTTTTCGCTGATACTTTGTCTAATTTTTGCGTTTATAAGGGGAATTAATTAAAATCGGTTGGGTCCGTTTTGAACCAAAATGACCTCTCTGATGAACCGAAATTTCACTATATTCGTGACTCTTTCAAGTTTGCGGGATAAAGCCTATAAATAATTTCTTACTATGAATAAATAGCTTGTCCCTTGGTCAATTAAATATTGTCTATGATGACAGATAATGTCTTCTATATGACTCGTAGAGAGCTTTTCGTTGAAGGCACTCCGTTGCCTTTTCTGAATCGCTCTAAACTGTCATAAAAGACTTGCCTAAAACTCCGGTCGGTACGCCATAATATATCCTTAGACTAAGCTTTCTCTACAGTTTAAGAATAGATGTTTTATATTTCATTTTCATTTCTTTGAGATCTTTTTCAGTTTTTCGATACGACCGCCCCGAAGTTTGCTAATTTGTAAGATTTTTCGATGACCGCCATATTGAAACTGCGAGAAAGTACCGTAAAAAAAACGTATTACTTTTGTATTAATTGAGTTTAAAATTATAAGTGCAAGTGAGATTTAGCTTGGTATATCACTAAGTCGCTCCCCTTACGTTATTTTTAAAGTTAACGGCAATTTGGCAGTGGCTTAAAGGATTGAGACTCCATGCATGATGTCGTGACATTGATTTCCTACACGTCACGCATCGACCTTTGACACCGTTATTAGACTTCACATAACGTCGAATAAGGGATGAGCGATTTCCCCTTTAAAATCCTCCACTATATATTCCGTTTCCTTTGGGTTTAACAATGTAGAGGAAAGGACTTCACGAACTCTTTTTTTTTTGACCGCACGAAGCCATTGTTGGGGCAAATTTTTTCCCTTTTGTTTTTCGTTTTCTCACTTACTTGTTATCGTGTATTCTTTTTCTTTTCGCTCTCCGGTATTTTGTTAATTACGCTCCTTTGTTACGTGCTGTATGTAAATTTCGTTATAGTTTGTATGTCTCGCCCTTTTTTCTTACCAGTTTACGTGTCTATTAGTGTAACAGCATTAGTGGAAGTAGATTTTTTTCCTCGGTGGCCCTGACCACCAACCCTGTTATCCTCAGCATTTGGTAAGCAGCTTCGTTTTCATCGCTTTTCATTAATTTCATTTTGCAGTCGCTTTAAATAGTTTTTCTGTATTGTAACTATTATTTTTTCGCTCTTAGTAGGAATTTACTTTTATGGTTCGGTAATAGTAACAACATTTGCTGATCGTGAACGTGTTGTGTTGTGGAATTGGCCCTTGCCCGTTCAGCCATTATGCAAATACAGAACACCTGTGTAAATAGTACATCCCGACTTCTCGGTTGTCAACACGGGATTTCAACTAAAACAGTAAAAAATCTATGGCTAAAGATCCCTTCGAAACTGAGAAAACTTTGATTTGGACTGGCGTAAAGCCCCTTAAAATGAAAATTGGGATTGAGACTGGCATAAACAAGATACATCAAAAATATATTTACGTTTGCAGTTAAACTTGATAATTGAATTACTTTGGCGTATTTACAACTAGTATTGTGTTATCATTTTTTCAGTCTACAATTATCTCTCCGAAAAACTAATTTTCACGGTAAATTTCTCAAGGAAGTAAAATAGCGCCGAGTTAGTCGTTAAACGTAAACGTTGACTTACATTATTGAGCGATGGCGTGTACCTTCTCACTTATGGTCGGTGGAGAATGCGGGGCTGATCCAAAGTCAAAGACTGCGTCGCGTAAAATCGTACCGTTGGTATCATGCTCAAAGAATATATCGAGCCACAAAAAACAGCTTCAATTCAGTGGCTGCGAAACGGAAATTGAGCTTATTCTAGCCCGCAGTGGTTGTTTCCAAACGCCAGAAAATATCTACGACATGACTATCTGTCCGCTGCACCGCGTTAGCTTGGGTATTGGGTGGCGAAGGTCTAAGCGGGTATGCAGTGTTCCAGGCAAACTCTCTGGACACAGTAAAGAATCCAAGAAAAATGCCTAGCGGGGTTGTGGCTTGGCTCAGTCAAAGTACATGTTGGAAGCCACTGGTGAATTCATTCCAGTTGGTTCAGGTAAATATAATCCTTGTTCTTTTGTAATACTTGCGGGGTAAAACATTTGTTCATAACGTATGACGTCATATAACAGATCAAACATCTCTGCCGTCGTTAAATCAGCAGTCTTTGGGCCTGTTTATAAATGGTGAGTCAGGTCAGTTAGCTGGGCTGGCCCGTTTTATTGGGATGGTTCGGCTAATACCTTGGTTCCCTTTCAAATTTCTTTTTTGTTAATATATAAGCCGGACTTACCCACTTGCCGAAATCTCTACTTAGGCAACCAGTATCTCGTCAGCCTGGTCTCTCACATAAACACAGCAAAAATTTTATAAGGACACAGGGTATAAGCCGAGCCAGCCGGATAAAGCAGGCAAGCTGGGCTAATCGGGCTGGCTCACTTCACTTCAACAGGCCCTTAACCCTATGTTGACACCATGCAAGATATCTTTGTTCCGGCAAGGAAACCATACCCGGGATAGTGCTTTTGTTCACGCTCAAGAACTGTGATTTCGGCGCCATTTCTGGAAAGGAGCAAAGCTGCGCCTTACCGATTTCGAAGGTTAGCCTCGCATATAGTCTACGTAGCTGGCGGTTTTTTTATGTTTTTTCTCTTCTTTTGTGGTTCGCAAAGTAAGAATTACAGCCAAGCGGTAAGTTGAATCAAGGTTGAAAAAGAAAACGATGGGAGAGGGGTGTGTGTAAAAATGATAAATGGCATAGCAAAAATCAGAAATGCAAGTGCGGATGAGAAAATATAAAAAGAGTGCGTTAACATTTTTGCGTCGAAAGAACCTGACGAAACAAGCACATACCCCTGAAAGCAGTCTGCCACAATCAGATTTTGACGAACTTAAAGAGCATCTAGGTGAGCTTACTCTGGTAAGCATGACATTCTATGATTTACGTCTGCAAACTACAAAGATCTTTCCTTGTTATATTAAAAACCGTACGCAGCTAGTATGTATCCAATTTTGAGTACGTTCAAAATGTTTTATGTTTGTACTGACAACAACGAAACTGGAAGAAGAAGTATTTTGGGGTCTTACTTCCGACTTTTTAATTTTTGTGAAATTTTAGGCAGAAACTGCAGCAGCCCAAGTAATTCATGTTGATGAAAAGAAGAGAGAGTATATTCATCCCAGAATCGGATTTGGAAGGTTCTCATTTTGAGAACACACCGCATAAAAGCCAAGTAGACAAGGCAAAAGAGCCTTTAAAAAAGTTAAACGACTTTTTAGCCTCTCGTGATGTTAGCCCTGTTCGACATGAGTTGTCCGTTCCATGGGAAAGTGCTAACGAGCGCACAAAGAGAAGGTACAGCCGTAAAGCAAAACAAAGTGTTCAAGAGGTTCTTGAAGTAATTGCTCCAGGACAAAGTGATAAATTATTGACCACATTAGGTGAACACTTACCATCTGAGAGAACACAAGCCGAAGAAGAAATTTTACAAGCCTTAGCAGAAAGCTATTTAAATACAACTCACTGGAGCACGAGAAGACAAATTTTGTCCATCTTGGCAGATAAACTATCGCTCAAGGAACTGACGCATTACATTCCCGGGGTGACGCCTTACAGATTTAACATCGCGCGGCATCATAGGCTGTTACATGATAGAGGTGCAATCGTACATACTGATATCACTACGCGTATGAAGGTGGATTTCGCCAAAGTTGATCATTTTCTCGACTTTATTACAAGTTCCCATATTGTACAAGACATGCCACTTGGAGAAAAGATGCTGAAACTTTCAACAGGGGAGGTGATTAAAACACCTAATGTCGTACGGATGCTAATACTAGAACGGATAACACAACAGTATTTTCAGTTTTGTGCCGAGACCGATTTCACTCCGATGAGCAAGCACACACAACTCCAAGTACTAGACGTTTGCTCTGCGTCAGTGCGCACCTCTCTGCAGGGCTTGGATAACTTCTCTGCACAAGGCAGTAAGGCAATAGAAGATCTTAGCGAGATAGTAGACAAGATAGCAGATCAAGCAAAGTCACGAGCCTGGGCCAAGGAAATGAAACAAACACTTCGGTCTGCCAAACAATATCTGCGGTCTGATTACAAGATAAGGCTATCTCAATATTTGGTTACTCTTTTAGTAGACAGTTAACTTTGTGTTTTGGCTGCATTGATGCTAAATTTAAGTTAATTGGTCATAAACATGAAAGCCAACTTTCTCTGGCTGCTGTTCAAGTTAAAAAGGACATTTTGGCATGGAAAGCTCACCAACTCCGAACAGTTAACCAGGATCAAGCAAAATATGACGTGTTAGATGTCCTATGTCGGAGTTCAGCATTATTAGTTATGGACTGGGCGATGAAATTCTTGCCGCGGAAGTTTCGCGTGTGACTGGTTCGCCAAACGTGGTATTCCATGGCACATCACAGTGGCTTTTACAAGATCAGAAGCAAATGCCCCGCTTGAGAAGCTCACTTTTGTCCACCTGTTTCAGAGTTGCCCTCAGGATAGCGTTGCAGTAACCGCCATTTTACAAGATGTTATCGAGATGTTAAAGGAGCATCGGCCAAGACTGCAAAAAGTGTACGTATTGCAAACAGGACAACGCAGGATGTTATCATTGTGGGTCAACAATTGTAGGACGCAGGTTGAACAGTCTTTCTGATGTCAAGGCGGAGAGGTTCGACTTTTCAGATCCACAAGGGGGCAAGGGAGAAGCCGACCGCCAGGTCGCAAAAATTAAAGGACATATCAATGTGTACTTAAACGAGGGGCACGATGTGAACAACGCTGCACAGATGAAAGAAGCCATTGAATCAAATGGCAGTATTCCTGGCGTTATTGTGAAGTATGTGAAGCCTCCCGAAGTATCTGCTGGCAAAAACGTGATCAAATGGGACGGAATTTGTACGCTTAATAACTTCCAGTTTTGTCCAAACGGTATCACAACATGGAAGGCTTATAACATCGGGCCCGGAAAGCTGGTACCATGGAAGGACATTCAAACCGATGGTATCTTTCCTGCTACACTTGAAGTTTTGGAGCCTCCTGATACCCGCTCTCAGCAGTCAAGCTTTAGAAAAATCAATCCTAGAAAGGAAGTGCCGCAAAAGTCTTTGTCCGAACAACGGCTGAGTAATCCTGACCAACAAGAGACAGCAGGACAAGACATGGATGTAGAAAAAGAGAAAGAGGAAGTAAGCGGCCTCTTTACCTGCCCAGAAGATGGGTGTATTCAGACATTCAAGCGGTCCTCAAGTTTGCAAGCACATTTAGACGAAGGAAAGCACAAGCGCGCGCTAGAAAAAAAAACACTCTTTGACAAAGCAGGAAAAGGATACGCTGCGAGAATAACTGGAGAGCAAACGAAAGTTCCAACCTTTGGTTTCTACGCGGCATCAAAACTCACAGTTGACGAACTACATTCCACACCTGAGATGGGATGGGCTCTTAAAACAACAAGGAGTAGAACCCAGTTTACAGAAGAACAAAGAAAGTTCCTCACAGAACAGTTTCTCATCGGGGAGGAGTGTGGTAAAAAGGCAGATCCACAAAAGGTATCGCAAGAATTGCGAAGAGTGAGGGACGAAAAGGGTGCTTGTATTTTCAGTGGAAAGGATATTCTTTCGCCACAGCAGGTGGCAGGATTCTTCTCAAGACTGGCAGCAAGGATTCGAAAAACGTCAGCAACATCGAACGAAGAAAGTGGAAGTGAAGACGAAGAGCAGAGTGCAGTCGAGGCAGAGGCCTTACATTCGCACCCAAAGGAAGTTGTCAGCTAAGAAATTGCTTTACGTCACCCCATTGTCGCCCTTTCCCGTAACATTTGCAGTTTGGTTCATACAAAGAAATTATCTACCTTAACAGTTACTATGCTAAGGGACATTTGTGAAGATATTGGCTTAAACGTGGATGATATCACGGAGAAACGAAAAAAGCCACTTATAAGTCGTATTACGCAGGTCGTTAAGGAGTGCTCTTGTGCTCGAGTGTAAGAATTGCGAACCAATTTTGTTTTTCAGCAGAGGCTTTGTACATATCATCTGATTGCGTGGTTTTTGACCAGCCAAAAAAAAAACTGATAGCAGCTCTGGTGACGAAAAAGACGTTAGTTACCCTAACTTTTTCTTTTTCTTTTTCATTTAACGAAGGATTGATATGTGAAAATCACTAGATTTTCAAAGGCATGCATTTTCTCCGTCATTTCTAAAAAAATGATGTTAGTAGTTTCGGTTTGATATTTCTAGATATGTGTGTGATTATAGTTAAAGTAGAGATCATTTAATTTACCCACATAAATTTAATTTAAAAATTGAAGCCTCTGATTAAGACCGTTTTAGTGAAGGATTCACTTTGTTAAGTCAGGAAAGTTTCTTAAAATGCCGAAAGGAGTTTGAGGAGAATTTCATTTCCGGTTCATTTGTCACACATATTGCGTGACACATGGAATATTGTTATGCGAGATGAGGGATGGAGAGTTAAAAGCGCCCATGGAATGAGACTTATCAAAACTAAAAATGAAGCAGAGTCAGCACGGAGTCACTTTTAGTCTTTGCAGACTACGATTGTCGACAGTAACCGCCGAAGTATGGTGCGTTTCTTGTTGCTTTTTCTTGACATTGGACTTTATTACAAGTAAATTTGGTTGATCTTAAAGCTTATGGGAGATTCTTTAGTCAAAAGAGGTGAAAAAATATGTACCGTTCGATGCCGTAGCGGTGACTTCCGTTTCGCCTGTTTCGGTAATGTAACACATTCCAAGATGACGGAAGGCGGAATTGTGCTCACTTTAAGAAGTATTTGTCAAAAAAGTACGAAAGATCCCAAACATATAAACTTGTAGAAAGTTAAAACTATCCTTTTAAAGAATTCCAAAAGGTTTTCTGGTGTGATTCGTTGCGTACCGCGCACATTTCTGACATGTTCTTTTGACCAGCCATTCCACCAAATTCGAGAAGGATGTTAGTGCGGCTTCTTTAAAAAATCGTATATTTTTTGTGAGCAGCGTTAGCGAGCTGTTTTGGGGATCAGTGGACTGAAATAGCTTTAGATTAACCTGGATATCCGTGAAGACACCTTAAAACAATCGACTAAATGACTCAATAACTTCTTGAAAGTTGGCAGTTTTCAAGGTTATTACGACGAAAACTACCGTTTACAGTTAAAATCAAATTTCTTTGAAACGAAACAATATTTAGCCAAATAAACCTTGATTTCATATGTATAGTACCTGGGCCTACCAATGTACAAAGTATAAGGGAAATCAAATTTTGAGCTCTGTCCGCCCGATCTTTGATCCTTACTGACATCAACTCTTAATCATTGTTTTATATGTCATACAAGTTTTAAGGTCGTTGTAAACGTGCAGGGTAATAAAGTAGAAATTCAAAAGCACTGATCCTAGACTGTTCACTGTCCCCTTCTTTTTCGTGGGACCGTCAGGATTGAGCGCTTACCGGTACGATCGGCCATCTTAGTTCCATGTGCAAAACCGTCCCCCGCCCCGTAAGTAGATTTGACACTCATCGCCGGGCTAGATTTAGAACATTTGAAACTTACCTAGTCCCTGTACGGCGTCTTTTCAGGCCCTCTCGGTCAATGCATTTCGGTGACGTATCCGAGACGAACGGCCGGGAGACGCCTAGACAATCTCGGAGTGCGCATGCGTGAGCATTTTTGAAAAGTCCACACGGTCAACTGAAATAATCTATAAATAACTTTGCGCGTGAGTATCTTTCTCTAAAGATCGGCACTATTGACACTATTACAAAAATAACTAACCTAGTTCGTGTTATAAAAGAACAAAAATATTACTTTGAATCGGAAAGAATACTACTGTATAACGTGCAAGTAATTTCTCTTTTATTCCATGTTCAAATGAACCATTAAAACGATGGTCTTTATTGATAAAAAGATTTGAAACAGCAGTTTGTTGACATTCTACCAAATTTAGAGACCAAATTCAACAGCCTGTCCGATTAGTTTGATAAGCTTCCAAATCCAAAAATTAAATTACATAAAGTATTTCGAAGTGAAATGATAACGAGAAATTTATAGGAGCAAGCGAAAATAGAGAAACGAAAGATAGCTTTTCATCTCCAAGAATAAATATAAACTTATTTCTTTAGCTTACCTTCCGATTCTTGATCAAATAATTTTTTTGCGACGCTGTTTTGCTTAGCCTACAAATAGTTTTTGAGATGAAATAAAGTTCAAATCAGTTTAATGAGATAAATGCAAAAGAAAGGCCAAACGACTTTCAACAATGAAAACGTGCATAGAATAAAAATATTCGTTCCTCTGTACTCTCCATGGCTGCTGGACATCTTTCATCAGCGCGGAAAAGTTATTGACAGCTCGCCCGCTTCCAAAAGCTCCGCCCCAAGTGAGACAAAATGTCTCACTTCTCCGAGTTTGTCTAGGCCTCAAAAACTTTCTCGGACCACGTGACCCGAAACGCATCGGCCTCGCATAATAATGAGGCCTAGGCACTAGGCAAATTTGAAACCAAGATGGCCGCCAGTAACGCAAAGCAGTCGATCTCAACTATAGGTCACTGTGAACAGGCTTTTAAAGGGTTTACTATTTGGGGAAAAGATACGACGATCTTAACGGGAAAATAGGGGACTGTGAACAGTCTACACTTATCCTTGTATTCTCAAATTTCGAGTTTACTTGTAAGTGTCCATTCATTCATTCATTCATATTGTCTCCAAATTTCATTTTTGACAAAGCACTTGAATTAAAAAAAAATGTTATCTATTGTTCTTCAAGTTGGTACGAAACATAGAGACGATACCCAACCCACATATATACGTAGGTTACAGAAACAACCCATAAAAATCCTTGTGTCAAAGTTTTCGCAAAAGACGACGCCCATATTTTGAACTTTGGCTACCAGTAATGCAACTTCCATGTTTTAAGCATTCTTAAGGTAAGGCAAAGAGAAGTGAATCTATTTCAATGAGGATAGACTCAGTTATGTGCCCAAGTATAAGCTCACACAGCGTCATTTTAGACAAGTTTCCAGTACCCAATGTGGGTACCAGCGCCTATAACCTTCTTAAATCCACGGAAACACTTATAAAACCTTCATCTACTGATTTCTTAATCAAAACTGCAAGCATAACCTGAAGGATGCTGAAATTGAAGACTAAAAATCAACCTATCCGGTGCAGTGTGGCGCTGGAAACATCAAAATACTGTCAACTGAACGACTTTTTTCACCTTCACAAAGGAAAGATCTGTTACAGCACAAAGTTGATGATGAAGTGTCCGCATTAGCTACAATCGGCGACAAAATGAGTTGAGACACTTCGCCCTAAACTGGGCTTTTTTTCACGTTTTACTGACTTCAAAAGGGGCAAATATAGCTTTTCCTCCCCCATCCTCTCCGTGCAATGTTGTGCCGCTGTTCGAGCTACCTACAAAAAAACAACAAACTCCCCAACTTCGAATGGAGGGGACAGGGGAGGGGTGTGGATTCTTTTGTTCTCTTAAGTTAACCTATTTGAGTACAACGTCTCAACAATTTTGTCGCCGAGAGTCTATTGATTGGGCAAGAAACAAGTGTCCATTGTCCGCATTAACGGGATGCCCGTGTATTAAGAGAATTTAGAGAAAATGTTAGGGCTTTACCCAGGGACAAAGGAAAGTGTCCATAATGACGAGTTATCCGAAAAGCGGGGGTTTAACAGGGTGACTGTTTTTTTAATATCATTGTTACATGCTAAAACTTTGAAGTTTTTGTCCCTTAATATCCAGGTGGGCCATCTTTTAAGAAAAACACTATTCCCGAACCTTCATTACCACTGCCCCAACCTAACAAAATAATTAGCTTGTTCCATTTACCTATACTAGAAGTGGATCCTGCAATGTTTTGCATACTCCAGCTGTTAAGAGATTCCTTTCCCAAGGAAGATGCACCTTCATGACTAGCTATGTTGGAGGGCATTTGCTTCTTAAAAAAGATTCCGCTATCCTCACTTGATGTACCTGCATTTAAGAGACGGCTCTTGTCAAGGTATTCATTATTACAGAATGTCTACAGAAGCAAATTCACTATAGCCAAAGAGCATTAACAAATTCATCCAAGCCCCCACAAGAGAACTTTAGGGCGATATCACAGATTCACATTAGACACATACTTGAATGTCTAAGAAATGTTATTGTTTATAGCAATTCGATGAAAGATACAATTTGCAAAATTGGGAGTTTTGTTCGCATATATTTGTCACTAAGCTATTTTTAATGGCATAGCGGAGAATTCAGGACTTAAGCCACGTTAGGAGATCACTCTTTTGCTGTTGCTACTCCTAAACTTTGGAATTGGCCCCTCAGTTGCCAGTTTTCAGGGACAACCACAGACGGTTTCCTCATAAGTGGCGCTAAAAAAAATTGTATCTGTTCGGTCATCCTACGGGAATTTGAGGCTTTTCGAAATTTCAAGGGTTACAGTGTTATTTTCCCGAAAAGTTTAATTTTTCTTATTCCTCTCTCCATCACATTTTTGAATCCGAAACTTTTAGGTGTCCTCTTTCTACAAAAATTAGCCTAACATAAAGAGTAAAATATAAAAACTCATCTTCAGAAAATTGTGGGGAATTTTGTAGATAAGCTTCGAAAATAATACCTGAATGAAACGCTCATCTAGAAATTATTAGCCGTATTCAAGCAGCAGAAAATTCTAGGCAATATTTTTCTTCTCCAAAGAGATAGCCGGCATTACAGAAAACAGTCGTTGGGTGTCCCTGATTCCCTCATTCCAGAAAGCTTTTATGTAATTTGATGTAACGTTTTTACTTGTTTTTAGTAGGGTTTAAGCAGTTAGTACAGTTTTAGCATGCAAAGTATTTTTTTTAATTTTAGTGTTCGACATAATTTATATCTTTAATATATTTGAATATTTAGTTAAAAACTTTTTTATAACCACTGATGAAAATGGCGCCTATCAAGCGTCTATTGATATCGGCACCATATATGTGTTACTATTTATCAATAATAAACGTCTATAGTATGAGGGTAAACGACAACAAGTCCTGTAGGAAAAAGCACCTTTGAGTAATCAGTCTAACAATCACTTCCCTCTTCCCTCCTTTAGTTGTAGTAGTGTACTATTGAGCAATAGCAAGAAAAACAACTCTAAGTTTTTGCATACCTGGATTACAAGAGAATTCAAGCATTTTACGCTTACGGTTATTTTTAGACTGAGAGTCTGTATTCGTGGATATTTTAGTTGGATTTCCTGATGCAGCATCAGCTATCATTTCACAGTCACTACTAAGGGAAGTTTCTGAAACAGGCTGCTCGAAGTTAGAAGTGTTTGTTCTTTGGTTGCTGTCAATTTCCATAGAGGGCTCTGCAAAAATAAGCTTTGGTTACAATAATAATCTCTTTGAAACTTAAGGCTTAGTCAATTCCAGGTGTGCCCATTCCTCCCCGGGGACGACATTTGTTAGGCATATATTAGGTTGTGTATTCCTTTGGATAGAACTCAGCGGTCGGCGTTTCTCTCCCCGTCCCTATTTTTTCTTTCTTTAGTGCGCCTACCCTGCGTCTTCCACTTGGTTAAGAATGGACAGAAATGATTTCTAGACATGCTTTCTGCGAAGATGCCTTCATGGTTCTCAGTAATGTCTTACATCCTCTGAGAAGGGTTGCACTTTGTTTCTTAGGAGTTCCGGGCCTTTAGATGATCTTCTGTTGCAACAAAATGGAGAAAACATGCTATTGCCGGAAAAATGTGTATATAACCACAATCAAATATGTGAAGTGCTGTAAATAAGGACTATGACCGTCTATGACAATAGCCTGCTCCAGGCTCCAAGATAGTGGGGAAAACGGATCGAAAAAAAGTGCCAAAAACCGCGTGAGGACTGGGGAAAGAGAGTGCGGTGGAGCCTGTAAGCATTGTTTTAAATACCTTATTCCGATATACCAGCTCCTGGTATACCCTCTGATTGGTTTATTTTTGACAGTTTACTTCAACACTTACGTCATTTACTTGGCTTCGCGCGCGCTGAATAAACATCGAGAACAGATCAGCCGCCCGTGGTTTCAGTGAACCGAATTCTCTCTCTTTTCCTTCTTTCTTTTCCTCTGCCTCACTTGTAACAATAAAGCAAAGTCTGCCTACTTCCGTCGGCAAAAATACTATCGCGATTTTCTTCGCTATTTTAAACAGTCAAGAGTTATGCTCATTTTTTTCGGAAAAAAGCGTTGTGACTTGAAAACCCAAAATCCCTTCAATGTTTGGAAAACGCGCAGCGCGATACAACGAATATTGCTGTAAACAGAGAAACTTTATTTTATTGTCTTGGCAATATTTATGTAGCAATCAATTTAGTGGCCAAATATTCTGGGACAATTCGCACATGTACTAAATTTTCAAAGAGAACTTACTGTACTCGAAAATGTGGTCAAACAACTACATGTATTCAGTGCTTGTGAAAGACTATCGTTGCACTCTTACATTTGCGTATGTTGTGCCACGAAAACTTTATTAGTGTAATATCTGTGGTACAACATAATCAATTAAGTACATCAGCACTTAACAAATAACTCTTACCATGGGTAATGTCTGGTACAACATAATCGATTAAGTACATCGAGCACTTAGCAAATAACTCTTACCATGTGTGAGGTCTGGTACAACATGATCAATTAAGCAGGGGCACCCAGCGACAATTTTCGGAGAATATCTGTTCGAAAGACGATTTGAGGTCTAGAATTTTTGGATCATTTGTTGTAAGATTTCTTGCTTGCCTGCCTCTGCTACGATTTTCGAACATCTAAAATATGGTATGATTGCCCATTTTTAACGGATTTGTACCCTAAAAAGAACACCTAGAATTTTCAGGAACCTTTTTTCTGGCTGAAATTTTCGAAAAAGGTAAGTTTTGATCCCTATAATTTTCGGATCACTAGACTTTCAGCTAGGAAATCGGAACAGATGAAAAATTTTTAGGGGATAAAAATATGCCTTTATCTACCGTTTAAATACTAAAATACGTTTAACAATGCTATGTTTAAGTGGTTTTGAGCGATATTCTCGTTGGGTGCCCCTGATTAAGTACACCAGCACTAAACAAATAACTCTTACCATGTGTAATGTCTGCTACAACATAATCATTAAGTACATCAGCAATTAGCAAATAGCTCTTACCATGACCCATTCTCTGCATTCTGTTCACAAGAGCTTCACATTGCTCCTTCCAACTGTACATCTGCCCATACAATGCTCTCAGTGATTTTATCTCTTGAAGCCGCATTCGATGCCTGCTGCGAACAGCTTCTATTGCTTCTGCCCATGCTGCAGGATCATCTGAATTCACGATGCATGAAAAACCAATCGGAACATTTTCTAGTGCTTTGGCAAATCCTGACCTACTGCCTACAAGAATGGGTAGTCCCGCAGACAAGGCCTCAAGTGCAACAAGACCAAATCCCTCTGATTTTGACGGCATTATGGCAAGATCAACTTCGCACAGCAAATCTTTTAGTCTCTCTCTACTTTGAATAAATTTTCTCACAGTCAACTGTGCTTCTGCAATACCACGCTGTAGAAGGTTTTCTCTAACTTCTTCTTGCTTTCCTTCAGGTGCTCCAACAAAAATTAGATGATAAGGTTTGTTTTTTAACCGTTGATCAGTAAATGCCTTAGCAGCAATGTTGTATCCTTTGAGTTCAAAGTCCTCATCATCCCCACGACCAAATAACAACACTTTGAATTCACCATCCTCGTTAGGATCTTGTTTTGCTACTAAATCCCCAAACTCCCTTTGAAAAAGGCCTGGGGTAATGGACAAAACGTCTTGATCTGTCTTGCATCGCTGCAAATATGAAGTGTATGCTTCTTTCAGTTTAGGTCCCACAGGCACAACAAGATCAGCAAGTTTGCAAAGTTCAACTTCTGATTCGTGTTTTGTTTCACCTTTTGAAATGGGGTCACTGTAGCATTTGTATCTGCTAAGGTCCTCTGGAGCAGTGTGCACCACTTGTACCCATTTACAGTTTGGAAATTTAGCAGAGTCTATGATGAATTGTACCTGCCGACCAAGTTTTACACCATGACCAACAACAATGTCCATGATATGATCCTTGGGTGGTGAGCTTAACCAAAGAAGACGATCAAATGCAGCACGTCTCTTCGCCTCAACGACAGTGATTCCATAGGTAAGGGCTTCATTTTTTTCTTCATCATTGCAAGCTCCCTCGGGGACTAACAAAGAAACCTTCACTGCTGAATGATTTGAAAGGTGAATAGCAAGCTCTCTGTTTATGGTTGACAACCCACCCGCAGATGAACTCCACTCACCACCAAGAAGAGTAACATGTAACGCTGGAACACTGGTCTCAGGAGAGCAAACCTACAAAAACATGGCAATAACAGTGAATAGCTAGGAGATCTTTGGCTCAAAAGACATAGCAGGTTTGGTAACTAATGACTGTTTTAGTACATTGTAAACTGTTGGCTCTTCTGTTCTAATAATAATAATAATAATTATTATTATTATTATTATTTATTATTATTATAATGGGGCTTTTCAGGGATAGCTGAAACTAATATCATGGGTGGTGAATTACTCCTTAATTTTGGCACAAAATTTCATCGTTAATTTATAATTTTACCGATGAAATTACAAAATTACCATGGCAACCTTGCGCCTACTTATCAGTGTTAAGATGGCAGCAAAGTGAAGATATGACATGGCATTAAAAGACGCTTTGGAAAACCTAAACACACAAAAGAGCACATCAAGAAGGATTCTATCAGGTATGTTGTTGAAAAATTCTGAAAATTCTGAACTTATCAGCCAAAAAATTTGAGCTCTAACATGTTCATTGAATGGAGTTCTTCAATAATAATTAATTCAGTGAACACAGTAAAAAACCTATGATTGTGATCATAATTTGACACCCGTGATATTAATAGATAACAAAGACGAGGGGGATTATTAGGATTTCGACAAAATGCAAGTGAAAATATTCCCTAATTTCACAAGTATACCATTTCCCTGCTAGATGAGGTGTGGCGAGGGACCTCTGATAGCAGGAGAAGTATACCATTTGATTACACATAACAGAACATAACATGATTGAAAATCCTAACTGGTGGGAGGTAAACCAGTTGGCTATTTTACAAGCACGGCAGAGGATTTGGACTAATAACTACCAAGAAAAAATCCAGCTGGCAGGACTTGAACTCCAAATTACAAGTCCTGCCTCTTTTTTACACCACGCCCACATAATTTGCTTCACTCTTTAATACAAAAATTATCACCACATGTGATAATTATTGTATTTCTAACTCTTTACATTGATCCCTTGTCATCTAAAACTACTAAGATGATTATATTTCTTACACAATACTTGCAGAGCCTTGGGCAAAAAGAGAGCTTACATGAATGGAAACATTTAGTTGGGAAGCAAAGTGCCTTCTTACATGTATAAGAACTTATTGCATGTAAGTCATCAATAAGTGATGTCTATATTAATCATGATCAGTGTTAATGGACTAGCATTAAAAGAAAATTAAACCTTATTTAAAAAGTGCACCAGTCACAGAAAAATATGAAAATGAAAGAAAACAAATTAATAGCAATTTAAACAACAATTTGTTTTATATAATCAACTAAGTTGATACAATAAATAAATAAATAAGCCCCTTATTTATTCCAAAAAAAACATAATTCCAGATTACAATTTACAAATATTAGATACAATTTGCAAGACACCTATCAATATAACAGAGCTATTTAAAATGTTCAGTCTTAATTTGATAAGTACAAAAGAGTGACTAAAATTCCTTAGCAACCTTGTTTTACTGGGTGGGAGGAGATCTGCCAAAGGGACCTCGGTAGAATTTGTGATGCTCTTCACAACTTATTATCTGAGGCCTGTAGAAGGATTAAAACAGGTATGGTCTTCTTGAGAAAGCCAAAACAAACTGCTTTCTTCTGAAAATTATCACTTTTAGAAAGAAATACTGTCTCTCAGGTTGAATCTTGTGTTAGAGATATCGACCGTTGGATGTCTTGTAACAAACTTAAGTTGAATTGGGATAAGACGGAACTGCTCGTTATCAGTTCAAAATATCGGCCACGCCCATCTTTAGATAGTATTCTGGTTGGTGATCATCGTGTAGAGCGGTCTGACAAAGCTAGGAACATAGGAGTTGTTTTTGATGAGACCTTGTCACTGGATAAGCATGTGAGTTCCGTTTGTAAAGCTGCTTTATTTCATCTTCGGAATATCGCTAAGATTAGAATGTATCTGACTTCTGAGAGCACAAAGACCCTCGTCCATGGTTATGTTAATTGTCGACTGGACAATTGTAACTCGTTGCTCCTCGGGTCACCGGAGTATATTATTCAGAAGCTCCAGCGCGTTCAAAACTGCGCTGCATGCCTTGTAGCCGGGCAACCTAGGGCTGCGCACATTCGCTCCGTCCTTAAGGAGCTACACTGGTTACCTGTGGAGCAGCGAATTACCTTCAAAGTATTACTGTTAACTTTTAAAGCTCTCAATAATCTGGCGCCTCCGTATTTAAGTCAACTTATAGTCCCGTATAACCCTACAGGAAATCTTAGGTCAGCTAGCAAACATTTATTAGAAGTACCGAATGTGCGCCCGAAGAGCTATGGGGACAGGGCCTTTTCGGTCGCTGCCCCAAAGCACTGGAATGATATTCCCTTAGACATTAAATTAAGTGGATCAGTTGACGTTTTTAAATCTAGATTGAAAACTTATCTTTTTAGACTCGCTTTCAATTGACTTTTTGTTTTAGTGCTATTGTTAGTTAGTTATTTTCTTTTTTTGATTGTAAAGCGATATAGAGCTTTTGTATATACCGCTATACAAATAAAGCTATTATTATTATTATTATTATTATTATTATAACTTGCAGTACCCCACAATGAAATGCCATAAATAGGAAGAGGTATAATCAGACCATCGAAGAGATCTAGACTATAGCCATACTTCTTACACACTTGTAATATGTGTATACGCCTTCCCGCTTTGCTGAGAAGAACAATAATTTGCTTGTCCCAGGGAGTTTGGTACTAGATTCCCTTAACCAACACACTTACTCTAAAATTAAGTGGATCTGTCAGAATCAACAGCTTGTGTATCTTGATAAGTGTGGCAAAAAGGGCCTACTAAAAAAAAATTCAAACTACAATGTAGGATTGATGGGCAATTAGCTAAATTTGATAAATAAAATGAAGTGACAATGTAGCGGTAGAATGGCCAAATGTTGTAATTGACCCAAGTTTTGTTTGAGAGTTTCAGAAATGAAGGATTCCTTTTAAATCGAAAGGTAAAAATGTTACAGTTATGATAGTGACAAATAAGCCAAATTCTATGGCGCTTTTTGGGGGTCATAATTAAGTGATACATTTCACATGGCGAATCAAAATAACCCATACATTTTACATGGCGAATTAAAATAACTCATACACATACATTTTACATGGCGAATTAAAATAACCCATACATTTTACATGGCGAATTAAAATAACGCATGCATTTTACATGGCGAAATAAGATACATGTACCCATGCATTTTACATGGCGGATTAAGAGACGCATACATTTTACATGGCGAATTACAATAACGCATGCATTTTACATGGCGAAATAGGTAACGCAAGCATTTTACATAGAGAATTAAGTAACGCATACATTTTATGTGGCGAATTAAGTAGCGCATGCGTTTTACATGGCGAATTAAGTAACGCATGCAATTTACATGGCGAAATATGCAAGGCTCTGATACATCTGCACGACGTACGAAAGCTTGAAAGTAGCTGACCTTTTACTTGGTTATGAAATAAAAGTTACCTTTAATATTATTATTATTATTATTATCGCATTTTGAATACACGAGAGTCGTATTTATTTTGAATTAATGGCGAAGAATCCGATGAACTATCGTTTTTGAATCAGAGAAATACTACTGTCTGATAGGGGTGTCTAGTAAACTCAGGCCTGGAAAACTCAGACCTCAGACCTTGGACCCCAAAACCCATCTCTCCCGCTCCCCACCACCCCTCGTGTTTCGCATCCGTTAGAAGTAGAAAGTCACGTGGTAAGCTACTGAGTTGCCTCCTCTCGTTAAGATCATGGAAGGTGATGTATTCAGGGAATGCGCGCAGCGTTTAATGCAAGCTGCCAAGCAAATACAAATAGGACAGAATTCTCTAATAGCCAGAAATAACACAGGGGCAAGGCGAGAAAGTGAAGCGACTCAGACTGCGAGTGAGAAAGTCTCAATAGCACAACGTCACCAAGGTCTGCTCTCTCTGCCGCTGAAAGAAGTACAGGAGACCTTGAAGGGCCTCAGAATGCGGCTGGTCCAGCCTGGGAGGAGCACAGGAGAATTTTTGGTTATAGGCCGTCGTCTGGGGCATCGCGGAGCCGGCCGGGTAGTGGAAACAGCAGAGGGAGAGGAAGAAGGCAGCCAGCAGCATTCTCGCCATATTTCCATTGCAAGAACACGTGGACAAGAGCGTTCATCTGTCTGGCTTTCAGCGAGCAAAATGTGCTTCCTTCCACAAGCGAAAGAATCACCCTTACACAAAACAGCCTAACGTCTGTTATAGATTGCGGTACTCCATCCAAACCGCCACCAAAATGCACCAAGTGCTGCAGTATTTGCTGTAAACGGAATCTTACAAAATCAACCGTATCTTCGCTCGCATTACAATGTAATCTCCTTGATAGATCAAGTAGGGAATTTCTAAGTAGTGCGAAAAAATCTGTCAGATCAATCCCATCCGCAATATTTTAAAGCGGGGCGCAGAAACCTCGTTCCCGGGTTCTCTCCTACCCGTCGGTTGGGGACAGTAGTACTTCTCCGATTCAAAAACGATCGTTCATCGTATACCGTAAAATTCCGAAAATAAGCCCCTCCAAATATAAGCCCCCCAAACCAGTAACGCAAAAAACCCTCCGTTAAATCGCCCCTTCAAATATAAGCACCCCGGGGGCTTGTACTTGGAAAATTGCCCTCAAATACAAAGTAAAACAAAGCAAAAACGGTAAATTTATTTCCAACTATAAGGCTAGCCCAACTGAATTTGAAACGCAAATTTCCCTCCGAATGTAGGCCCCTCCAAAAATAAGCCCCTCAAAAAGGGCCTTTGAAAAATATAAGCCCTGGGGCTTATTTTTGGAATTTTACGGTACTTCGCCATTACAGCTGATTTCAGTGCTGTGTATACACCCTGATTTTTAGACATGATTCGACGGTCATGATTCCACCGTCATGATTCGACCGAGAGGTTACCAAGCGGTACAGTATTTTACCTTGAATATCCTACAGGAATCAAAGCACACAATCTAAAAGTTACTTTAATGATAGCTTGAATGTTTCTCTTGTAATTCGGAAAAAGAGGACTGTGATCCATAATTTGTTCTCCTTTTCAGACAACAGCCTATAATACAAGTCACGCAATCTAATCGTAATACATGTTATCGGGCGTGTAGACGTCTCGATCAATAAGTTTTTCGGCTCTTTTCTCAACTGTTTTTGGGCTTCTACCTTGATCTTTAAAGAAGTATGTTGCTTTCTTTTATGTATGGTTTTCTTTATTTGTGCTCACTAGGGTCATAGGTCGAGGAAACAAAACTCTCAAGCAAATTCTTTCACAACGGCAGACTGATCAATTTATCTGTTGATTTCTTCTGCCAAACGTCAAGTTTTCCTGTAGTTTTTTAACCATGCAGAAACTAAGTAAGTACGAAAAAGTACCAACTTGAAGAAATACAAATTTGCCTCCCTGTTATAATTAACTAAATTTGCTGTTACATGTAAATTGCGGGTGGTATTCACCAACGGCAAAATACCGAAACCTTGTCACATGGAAGAAGATTAAACGATAAACCATCGGACTATTTCGCTTTTCGCCGTATTGATAATATTTCGTCCATTATGAAATCGCCTACAGAAATACATTCGAACTCGGCAATCGAACTCCAGGTATCACATGTTATCATAATTTCTGTATCTGATGTCGCCGCTTTCCGAGCTCTCAGGTAAAACGCATTTGTCAGGATTCTAGCTTCGTTACACTTATGTCCTTTAGTGCTAAGCTTTCCTTGCCAGCCAGATTTTTCTCTCACTGTTTCGGATCCCACGGCAGAACTCTCAATTATTTTTGCAACCGTTTACGTACTGCGAAGTGATACGTCACGTGAGTAGTGTCGAATCATGACAGGTCGAATCATCACCGTCGAATCATCTCTGAAAATCCGGGTGTATACGTAGCAATGAAATCAGCTGTAATTCAAAATAAACGCGACTGTCGTTCATTCAAAATGTGATACTTAATTTAAAGTACATTTATTTCAAGTAAGCGATTTAACCAAGTAAAATGTCCTCCACTGTCAAGCTTTCACTCGTCGTGTAGATGTATCAAGCCTTGCATATAGCTATTTCGCCATGTAAAATGCACTCGTACCTTAAATGCACGCTTATCTTAATTCCCATGTCAAATGCATGTGTTACTTAATTCGCCATGAAAAATACATGCGTATCTTATTTCACCATGGTAAAATGGATGTGTTATTTTAATTCACCATGTAAAATGCATGCGTTACTTAATTCACCATGTAAAATACATGCGTATCTTATTTCGCCATATAAAATGCATGCGTTACTTAATTTGCCATGTAAAATGCATGCGTATCTTATTTCGCCATGTAAAATGCATGCGTTATTTTAATTCGCCACATAAAATGTATGGGTTATTTTAATTCGCCAAGTAAAATGTATGGTCTATTTCAATTAGGCAAGTAAGTTGTGTCACTTATTTTTACATAAGCTCGGATTCCTTTGTTCTTTTCGGGGGGAATATATTACATAACCCCCGAATCAACTGTCTGAAAAGCTGGGTGCGCGGTGGGTGAGCGGTCCCTTAGAGATTTTCTGTCTTTACGTCATCCTAACCATTTCGTACTTGCGGGCGCAAACAATAGAAACGTCATCATAACCTACCGATTCCTCGCGGCCCCAGTTCGAGCAAATCGAGATTTTTTCTAGTATACTGACTGTATATTTGAACTGTAAGTACTGTCCTTAATATACGCGCGAGTTACTAGGGTGCCTCCTCGGGATTTAGCCTCTGGGCGAAATCCCTGCGGGGGCAATGAATATTCCCCGTTCTATAAGCCAACCACGCAAAACAAGTTCGCTTTTACACCAAGTAAAAGCGCACTAATAATCTTATTATTATGAATATTCCTCGTTCTATAAGCCAACCACGCAAAACAAGTTCGCTTTTACACCAAGTAAAAGCGCGCTATAATTCTTATGAATATTCCTCGTTCTATAAGCCAGCCACGCAAAACAAGTTCGCTTTTACACCAAGTAAAAACGCGCTAATAATCTTATTATTATGAATATTCCTCGTTCTATAAGCCAGCCACGCAAAACAAGTTCGCTGTTACACCAATTAAAAACGCGCTATAATTCTTATGAATATTCCTCGTTCTATAAGCCAACCACGCAAAACAAGTTCGCTTTCACAAAAAGTAGAAACGCGCTAATAGTTACAAAGCGAGGGTGACCTATATATCTAGCGCTAATAATATCTCAAGGTGCTGCGAGTATAACAAACATCGTACGAACATTAAAATTGAAAGGTAACGTGTCACTGTCGTGTTCGTTCTGTTTATTGTGATTCACGAGCAAATAACATCATGACATATGAATGTCTTCTTTCCTGTACGTAAGCACTATTTTTTGGTAATTCTTACTTCTTTAAAAGGACCCGAAACAACGCGGAAAGGCGCGAAAACTAGCAAAGTGGTATTGACGCAACAGGGTTTTAACAACTGTACTCAACTCACTGTGAAATTAACTTCTGAAATTACTTAGCGCAATGTCATTATCTACATGGAAGTGTTTAAACCAAAACAAGTTTTCAATGAAGAGTTTCCGACAAGGGTGGTTATATCATGCTGTTGGTTATGACTTTGTATTGTATTTGGTGGCTCCTAAAAGAGCCGTTTTATATTCAAGTGACTGAAGTCACTTTTCACTGTTGACGTGGGGTTTGTCGTGGTAACCCATTGAGGTACAACAGTTTGCTCTAACCAAGGTCGTAGTAAAACCATTGATGTCTTTTACTGTCAACGTTGTCGTTGACAAATTGTATTTGCCGTGCTCTTTTCTCGGCTTTAGTTTGCGATGAGGCCCAGGACTGAGCTAGAAGAATCCATCTACTGATTATTTCAGGATTGCACCCGTTGCCGTGCAAAAACAGCAGAAGTTTGAATGTCTCCTTATCACCCATTGGTTTCTTCCAGAATATTAAGCGAATATCCTTAGGCCACGATTTCTCTGGAAAAAAGGCGTCGCCGTTGAGCAGTCGGAATAACTGTTTCCTTTCTTCCACGACTTCTTGCCGAGATAGCTGTCGTATTTCTTCTCGGTACAAGATATCATAGCCATGTTCCAACTGATCGTATAACCGTGAACTGAGACCACGCCCATAATGAGTTTAGATTTATAAACACGCTACGTTATGTGAGCAACATTTCACATCACTTTGAGATTTTTTATTGTTCTTATTGTCTTATTACTCTTTGTAAGGGTTATGCGCTTTTCTCTTTTTCGGTATTCTTTGTTATTCTGAAAATGAAGAGACCTAACTGTTATCTCACCTTTTTATTGGATGAGGCGTGATACCACTCTAGGGAGATAGCAATTCCAGTGACTGTGTTCGCGTCTGTTAGGGATAAAAGCACGTTGTAATTTCGCTGGCTTGTTGTCGCTTCAGTCTACACACCTGCGTGATTTTCGAAACTTCCGTAAAGTCATGGCTGCCCGTATGCAAAACGAAAACGATCTGGATTGGACATTGTTGCCACAGAACCTAAGAAAAGTAAGTACTCTTCTTTTTCGAAATTTGACACTATTTAGCCAGGGATACCCAACGACCGTTTTCTGTAAAATATCTGTTCGGAGGAGACGGCTAAAAATTTCTAGAGGAACATTCCATTCATGTACAATTTTCGAAGCTTCTCTAATAAATTCCCTGCGATTTTCTGAAGTTTGATTTTTCATATTTTACTAAATAGGTTACACTATTTTCCTTAGATAAAGAAGGCCTAAAATTTTCTGATTCTAAAATGTGATGGAGCGGAGGAATCAAAAAAATTCTCACTTTCGTAAAACGTTAAATTGCTCTTAAAATTTTTTGGAAAATAATACTGAAGCCCTTGTAATTTCGCAAAGACTTATAAGTTCCCCTAGGATGATCGAACAGGTAAAAATTTGTTAGCATCGCTTAGAATGCATTTCTAGAAATCTAAAAGTACTCTGGATAGCGTAAAAAGGGTTATCAACGTATTTTGGAGGAAACCGTCGTTGGGTGCCCCTGTTTAGCCATAGCGCAACATCACTCAACATTTGAAACATTCAAGAACTTGTAGGTCACGCTCAGTTTCCCTTTTATTGGCTGTAGTTCGAGAAGTACAACAGTTTTATGCATGTGCTACTTTTAAGAACCTGACGTTTCACTCAACCCTTTTTAGTCCCTATTTGATATCTTCTCCTATACAATAAAAATCTCCATGGAAGAATAACAGACCCAATCTTTTCCCGTTTTAAAATTAGCGTTCTTTGTAAACGCAACATTTTTAAGATTTTTCACCGGCACACTCGCAAAACAGCGGGATTTTTACAGCAGCTGGTGTTCAGTGCGTTGGCCTTTCCTTACTCGGTAAAAGATCACTTAAGAGAAGTCCCTTTTCAAGCTTCTATTACAGACCAGTGAATAAGGGAACTCACTGGACAATGAATTAAAACTAAGCAAAGATGCTTTAAGCTTCAAATAAAAACTCATAAGTAAGCAACTTTGCTAGGCATACAACGTCATAAACAAGGTTTCTTATATATTATGTATAATCATATAATTATAGAGATTAATTTTTAGCTCTTACCATTCCCCTTTTTATATATTTACTGTACTCTTTTGTAATGTTTAACATATTTTTTGTAATTATCTTTGAATAATCTATAGATGACTTTCCTTTTTACCTACAGAATATCAACACAGAAGTCTGTGAGCAACTCTTCAGTTGGCCATCAAGATATTCATCAATCACTAAACAAACGAATCGATGGAGATTTTTATTTCTTATGTTATATTTATTATACTGCCACAATGAAGATGTAGACCAACAAAACTCCTGGAAGCTTCTATGTTGTAAATCCAATCGCAAAACATGTCTAAACTTCTATCGATAAGTCACAATTTCTCTGTAATTCACATTCGCTTTTCTAAAACTGGGAACCCAATTAATAAAATTAAAACACTCTATTTCTAACAATAAACACCATGAATGGAACAGCAGTGAAGGATCTGCCAACTGAATACAACTTTCAAGAGACTTTCATCAATTTCTATTGGTAACAAGATTTTAACTCCCCTTAATGGATGCATATTCACCAATACAACCATTGGAATGACATCATTTTCTATTGGTACCAATCGTTCCATTCGTACCAATGGACCATTGGAATTGCCCTTTACCCAGCCAGACCACATGAGAAAATAAGGTAACTCTCCTTAATAAGATGCATATTCACCAATAGAACCATTGGAATAGGACGCTTTTCCATTGGTACCAATCGTACCATTGGTACCAATGGACCATTGGAATTGCCCTGTACCCAGCTAGACCACATCAGGAAATAATCTAAGTCCTCTTAATGAGATGCATATTCACCAATAGAACCATTTGAATAGGGTGCTTTTCCATTGGTACCAATCGTACCATTGGTACCAATGGACCATTGGAATTGCCCTGTACCCAGCCAGACCACATTAGAGAATAATCTAAGTCCCCTTAATGAGATGCATATTAACCAAAAGAACCATTGGAATAGGGTGTTTTTCCATTGGTACCAATGGACCATTGGAATTGCCCTGTACCCAGCTAGACCACATGAGAAAATAATCTAAGTCCCCTTAATGAGATGCATATTCAGCAATAGAACCATTGGAATAGGGTGCTTTTCTATTGGTACCAATCGTACCATTGGTACCAATGGACCATTGGAATTGCCCTGTACCCAGCTAGACCACATCAGGAAATAATCTAAGTCCTCTTAATGAGATGCATATTCACCAATAGAACCATTGGAATAGGGTGCTTTTCCATTGGTACCAATCGTACCATTGGTACCAATGGACCATTGGAATTGCCCTGTACCCAGCCAGACCACATTAGAGAATAATCTAAGTCCCCTTAATGAGATGCATATTAACCAAAAGAACCATTGGAATAGGGTGTTTTTCCATTGGTACCAATGGACCATTGGAATTGCCCTGTACCCAGCTAGACCACATGAGAAAATAATCTAAGTCCCCTTAATGAGATGCATATTCAGCAATAGAACCATTGGAATAGGGTGCTTTTCCATTGGTACCAATCGTATCATTGGTACCAATGGAGAACCCTCGTTCTAGTTTTGAAAGGTTCGAGTTTGCGCGGTATCTTCCTCATTTCAACGGCTCTCTTCGTGAGCGGAGAGGTTTTGATCGGAGCTCGTGCGAAACGGGGACTAATATGAGCCGAGTTTGCAAAGTGCCTTAGACATCATTAAGTCCGGGAAGGCTTAAATGGGCGCTCGTTGCTCAAAGAACCGAGCTTCGGGCACAATCCGAGAGACCATCCGGTGGATGCTGCGTAACGTCTCTGCCCAGCTCTGCACACCGTGAAGAAGTCTCCAGCAGGCAATAAGGGGCAAATTGGTTAGTTTGGACATAAGAAAAGAGGGCCAACGAAGTTTTTGGCTATGATTTACTTGCCAGGATGTGAAGTGTCCCGCACGAGTTAAACACGGATTTCCCAGAATGCATTGCGAGAAAGGTTAAATACATGTTTAATATTACATTAAGACTGTTCTGTTGTTGTGTTTCAGTTTCCACGACGGACGTGCTGATCTTTGAATAAGCGAGCAACAACGGTGAGTAGCAGGCTTTTTGCCAGGAGAGGTTATGTTACAAAGTCGTGAAAGTGTGGTTGAAATCAAAGTTTGTGGTTTGTTATAGCAAAGGTTTATTTTTAGTCATGTGTCGAGCGACTGTGGAAATTTACTGTGTCCAAAAAAAGCCGCCGTCCTACTGTACAGGCTGCATTATCGTTCATTTTCAATTTACTGTTCGCATTGCAAGCTAAATGCTGATTGGATCGCGGAACAGTGACTATTTTTCCTCAAAGCATGTTAAAGTTCCCGCGCTATAGCACCGTCGCGACGTCGAGCGCCGTTTATGCTTGATTCCCCGGAATGTTCGGTACAATGTTTTTCTACTTTATACACCGGTGCCGATTATAAAACCATTGCGGGGTGAAACTGATCTAGGGAAAATGATGTAGAAGAGATAAATTACTTTTTAAACACGTGTTGAGGAATTTCCGAGGTTCTTATTTCCTTAAGGAAAAAAAATTTTTTGGAAGAATGTTAGTGGTATTAAATGTTTGTACAAAATATGCATGTTGTTATGTCTAAATGACTGCAATTTAAGAGCCATTTTCTGAGAAAATCGAGAATCGCAAGACACTCGTCAAAAAATCGGGTTTTTTTTATTTTTTTCCAAAACATCCCTTTTAGTGACCTAATTTAAGGAAACATAGTTTTGGGTTCAAACGATTCATTTTAATGGAGAAATTAGAAAAAGTTTGAAAAATCGATTTTTTTGCCTGCTTTTTGCACAAAACATGGCAGCAAACAACAGCAACTTCGAGAGAAAGGTGAACGCATAAGAAACATTCACTGATATTGAAACTTCAGCGAATTATTATTTCGTTCTTACTATTTAAAATGCTAAAAGAAAATTTGAAAAACAATGTTTTATATTTTTATTATCGACAAGTGTAAATAGGTCATATTTGTGACGTTGGACATGCTAGAAAATAAAGGCCAACTTTGACTATTATAAAAGGCCTCTGGTATATGCCGCTTGATCATAAAAGCAATAAAAAATGGTAGCTTGGCTATTGTACTAAATTACTGGAAAGTTTTAGTTCTGGAAATCAAAAACTATCCTGACACCAAAGCAAGCGGTGAGAGCTATTGAATAGGGAAAATTTATCCAAATTAGACGGCTTGCGGACGGTTGCTAAACTAAAAGAAAAGTTTTACGTGAAAGGATTAATCACCACTGCTTGGAACACGTTTTTACAGTGAGGAAGGTTATTTCCAACTTCAGTTGCATCGGTTTGATTCACAAAGCCAAACGACATGCGACAAACGTACGTTTGTTCAGAAACTGCGTCCGAGCAATCCGGCAATCCGGCCGTGAATCGAAATAAAAAGACACAGCACGTCACTGCGGTCATTTAGAAGCAAAAGTTACAAGAGTTTACCTAAGTCGGGAGACAAACTGAAGGAATTAAAATTCATCGCAAACTAGTGACTTTGATTTTGAAACGTTTCATCACTTCAATCTTCGTCAGCAGATAATAAACATCGCACAAGATGGTATGACCTTTGGCGAGTTGGCGTGTGACAGGAAATCGGTCACACGCTTAAGTCACGCTACCTTACTGTCACGAAATTTTAACACGATTTTTCACCTTTGTTTTCGACAAGAAATAGAATCATCGAAATCGAAATAGAAACGGGCTTGCTTTATTTGATATTTTAAATTTCTTTTATAGCCAGCAGAACTTGTTCCCCATGCATTGCACGTGTCTCGCGCTTAAAGTCGGCGTCTCAGTGCTGGCAAAAAAGAAAAAAAAATTGGCTCCTGTTGCGCAGTCGATTTCTTTTATAGATACCAACTAGGTATTGACAGGTTGTGAAACAAGCGTATTATTTTTACGTGCTACATCATTTTCCTACAAATTTCAAACGTAATTGATCTGTTTGGACCCGGGATTTGGACCCTGTTGATAGAGAAAGAGAGTCACCCTTCCAGCCGAGCCAACTACCGAGTCTACGAGAAGACGCTTCAATTAGCGGGAAAACTCAAAAGCGTTGCGAGGACATTGCGAAGGAGATCAGTGCCGCAGCCAACTACCGTATGGATCAATCTTATTCAAGATTTTTGTTCTACCTACCACGACAATACAACCTTCTGGATTGCCTATATCCGGAAAAAAAGTTTGGCTAAAAGGAACGCAACCTAAATATCTCAGCAAACTTACTTTCGCTCTCTCAGCTCTCTCCATATGGGTCAGGAACTGCTTCTTATTCTAGGACGAATAACAGAGTGACAATTTACTGAAAGTTCTCTATGGCGGAGCTAGTAATTGTATTTGCAAAAGAAACATTCATTTATGACTGCCATAACGTTTCTTAGTGTATTCACACATGCACCTTACACATATTATAAGAGTGACATAAAAATCAGTTCTTAAGAAGACTACTTGCCTCTAAACTTAATCTTAGAGTGCAAGAAAAAGCAGAAATCCCTGATCCTATCATTTAAATGGATTACGAATATAGGACCGAAATACCTAAGAGACTTTTTTAGCGTAAGAGAGAAGTCTTACAGTTTAAGAGGAAATGGTGTTAATCTTTGCGTTCCCAAATTTAATCTTAATTTTATGAGGAACTCTTTTACTTACAAGTGGGCTCAACTATGGAATAAACTTCCAGAAGATGTTAAGCTGGCCGATAATGTTAATATTTTTAAGTGTAAGCTAAGATCAATTCAGCTGTAATTTTTATATTTTGAATTTTTTTTTTGTAATTTTTATAATTTTTTATATTCATGTTTACATAGATTATAGATTGTAGATTTAATTTTTTTTAATGCTAGATATTATTGCCAACAAGCCATCCGAGCGAAGACGCTCGGATGGCGAGGCGGCAGCAGAATAGAGCCGCGCAAGACTGGGCAATAGGCAGAAAAATTCTCGATCAAGTTGAAAAAAGTGTAACCTAATGTAATGTAGATTCCCCTGAGACCAAGTGGTCAGTTGTGAACCAATCAAAAGGTAGTACCTGGCGCGAGGGCTCAAGTTGAATAACAAACAAAATTTCACACACTTCCCGCCGTCGCGACTTCCTGTGTTTATTTACCTAAATTTTTTCGTCAAACCCGGCCACCGCAGTTAAGAGACATGAACACTTGATATATTCTATTAATTTTAAGGGCCATAATGTTAAGTTTTAACGAAGAGAAGTTTGTAAAACAGCAAAAGTGTTCTATGTGCAGCAAGCAATATTCTCACCACTAAAAAGGATCAGATTACACGAGGAGATAAGGAAAGCTTGACACGAAGAATGCGGTCGCTTCAGTTGGAAAATCTGGTGTTGAGGAAAAAATCTAACCAGCAAACAAAAACAATGAGAACAAAAACGAATTACACGCCTAAAGCGAACGACAAAGGAAAAGAAAACAACGCCATTTTTTTCGAAACGTGGCCGAGTTCAGTATAAAAATAATGAACTAAAATTAAATACCGACGTGCCGTACATCGCATGTCCTTGGAAACATTTCATATGGCCCAGTGAATCATTCTAAGTTTCAATCCGATAACAAAAAACCTCGGGAAATTTGAAAGGAGGTTTAAATGATTAAACTGTGCAAATATTTATCAACAATGTGATACCGAACCGACAGTAGATTTGTAGCTGGACTTCCTTAAGGAAGGGATCAAGAAACGGTCAAATGGCGAAAAAAAAAGGAATTTTATTCCTAAGCAAAATACGCATGATTTGCTCGTTGGCACTCTATCGATAGGTATACCTAGTTATTACTATAATTGTAGATTTTTTAATGCACGTTCGTACTTTGAACGAGCACTTGTGCTCTTAGACTATAACGCGGTGAAATAAATTATTGATATTGATATTGATATTTATTGATTGATTGTACTCCGAATTCCAACAGGTTAAAAGTTATTTTTTCTGCAGAATTGACTGGAAAGTCATTAAAATGCAGAGTGCGACTCCACACAATACACTTAAATCAAGAATACGACCAAAATCTCTTCATCAGCACTTATGTCAGGGGCACCCAACGTCAATTTTCGGAAAATATCTGTTTGGAAGACGATTTCAGATCTAGAATTTTCCGAACACTTGTTGTAAAATTTCCTGCTTGCCTGCCTCTCCTTGGATTTTCTAACATCTTAAAAATGGTTAATTGCCCATTTTTAACGGATTTTTACCCTAAAAAGGTCACCTAGAATTTTTGGGAGCCTTTTTTCTGACTGAAATTTTCGAAAAGGTATGTTTTGATCCCTATAATTTTCGGATCACTAGACTTTCAGCTAGGAAATCCGAACAGGTGAAAAATTTTTAGGGGATAACAATATGTCTATACCTGCCTTTTAAATACTAAAATACGTACGACAATGCTATGTTTAAGTGGTTTTGAACTATATTCTCGTTGGGTGCGGTCTTTTATGTAACTGTTGTTTAGGAAACGGCCTGGACTCGCCCCTCGATTTCTTTTTCATCTTGATCTTCACCTGTTTCATGTTTAATCACAACTACAAAGCGGCCTACCTCAGAAACATCTGAGCTTGTGTCAGCTGCTAGTAAAGCTGCTTCTTGATCTGACTGAGTTGAAGGAGAAAAGTCACTGCCGACTGATAACAGAGAATGAAATAACAAATATGCATTAAGTTCATCTGTTGTGAATGTACTGTCCCCGAAAATGATCACAGTAAATAAATTTATCACCTGTGTACAGCCACTCTCTTCGCTCAGAAAAAAATCAGGAAAGCTTCGAGTTTTTTCCCGAGGAGACGGGGGCTGTACACAGGTTGATAAATTACTGCACTGCTGGTAAACAGTATGTCGATTAATTGTTTTAATGCATTATCATTTTTCCGTCTGTTTGCGAAAACGTTTTTAGGAAGGTAACTATATGAGCTCGATAAGCTGACCATCGTTACGATAATGCAGCAAGATTGCTGCTGTGAAAATGTAACATTTTTCGTAAGAAACAAAGAGCAACGTAATCAGGTTTGCAGCAGAAAAGATAACCAGTCAATGTTGGCCAACGTAAGCAAATGGTATTAATCACTTTTTTTGCATTTGATTTCAGCTTTCAATTGTTTGAGCCTAAACAGCAGACATTCAATAGCTTACGAAGAGCTTTTAAACTCACATGATTTTTCCATTAAAATCCTCTTGCAAATCCGGTAGTTTTCATTTTCGATAATTGTCTTCAACCTGACACTCTCCAAGTTCAGTTTCTTCTTTATGTCATCAGTCACAAGGTATCTCTCAGCAATGTCATTAAGGTGACCAGAATGATAATCACTCCACAAACTTTCAAGGCTCTCCAAGGAAGTGCACCAAAACGTTATTTCCAGAGATCCCAAACCCACAGATTCCAAGGCCACGTTGTGCGTCTTCTTTATATATTCAATAAGGCCAGACACTCCTTCTGAGGTTGCAATTGTACGATGTTGGAAGTACACTAGTATTTGTCGTTGGAGAGTTTCATGGACTATTTTGCTCTGTTCATCACTTATTTCTTGAAAAAAGTGCTTTGTAATAATTTCTGAAGGAAAAGAAAACGCCCCGAGAAATAAATTTCTCTATTAACGAAAAGCAAAATATCGCGAGAAATGTATCCTAGACTACTATACATCGTTCGAAAGTCAATACCTTGCATTGGTCGCCAGATTTGTACCCTGAAGAAAACAGCTGACATTTCGCGACGCCGCCACTGCTTTCTCTACGAAATGACCTCAAAGGATGAGTGCAGAAATTCCACACTGATGATGTGTCACGGTAGTGACACATCGGATGTTTTCTAAGCTACCAGATTTACAGCATTTTCGAACGCAGGATAAAATCTGGTGTTAAACCTGAGCAGATAATTAAAGTGGGCAATGAATTACACTACTACAGTGTAACGATAACAAGTTCTGTGCAAAAAAAGCACCTTTGGGTAATACCCTTTATAAATGTACTAGTAGGCAATAGCAAGGAAAACAAATCATGTTATAGTTTACCTGGATCACCAGAAGATTCTGGCTTTTTACGCTTACGGCTGTTTTGTGACTGAGAGACTGTAAATATTTTAGTTTGATTTCCTGGTACAGCATCAGCCTTCTTTTCACAGTTACTATCAACGGCCGTTTCTGAAACGAGCTTCTCGCCAACAGGGGAGTACATTCTTGGCTTACTGTTATTTTCCGTAAAAGCCTCTGCGAAAACAAGCCATGGTTACAAAAAATAAATTCATTGAAACATAAGGCTCAGTAAGTTCCAAGTGTGCCTTTCCTCTCCCTGGACAGGGTTAGGCGTTTATCAGGTTGTGAGTTCCCTGTGGGTGTGGAATTTTTTCATCAAAGGTCTGCCAAGAGGAGACGAACTTTTTATTGAGTAATTTCACAATTTCGACTACTTCAGTTTAAATATAGGTAAAAAAACATTAAACAACGAAGTAGCATGTATATGAAGATTGATTTAGTGAATATGTTTCAATTATACTTCCTAAAAGGCTCGATAGATAATGAGGAGGAACACCGTGTACTGCTATATTTAGTAGTAAAATAGTTTAAAACTTATGTGTACTTATGCATGTACACGTATGTACCACACAGAATCCCTTTTGCCTATGAACACACGTTCATAGACAACATCACCCTCGATTTCATTGATTATAAGTCTGCCATAATACCGTTATGGTCCGCTGTCATTCTTTCCGTCCCCTGAAAAGCCTGGCTCTTTGTTTCCAAGGAGCTCGCAGCCTTTAAAGAATCCTCTTCTGTGAAACAAAATGGTCGAAAACAGGCGGTGATTATAGTAGCACCACAATTTAACGAAGTGCCAAGGGACTGAGGAAATTTGTTCGTTGTATTAACTAATTTTCGAAAAAGCAACCACTATAGTTAATAATCAATTTACAATACCCAGCATTCCCGGATCTGAACAATGTCTCAGTACCGAGCAGTATGTAGATCAATCCTTTATTATAAGCTTCTTAGAAAATAGTGTATACATATGTTTTAGTGACTCGTTCACAATTCGACCACCCATAACCACCCGTGTGAAACAAAGTCCCAAGTAGACAACTGTGACCCTTAAATGTGGTGGAGACCCTTATTCTACACATCACAGATCTTTTCATGCATTTAAATCCACTTTAACAACTTCCAATACAATTTTAAAAGGTGAGCACAAAAAATTTAAGCTCAAGAAGCAATTATAGGAATTCAGAGTAAATTCGATGATAAAAACTAACATTATAACTTTTTAAAGTACTATACAGTAGATCCATTTTAAGATTACATTCCAAAACGGTTCCTACTCGGTTATACAGTTGTATTACGAGAATTTAAAGAAAATGTAAGGGCTTTACCCAGGGACAAGGAAAGTGTCCGAAAAAACGAGGTTTAACGGGGTGACTTTTTTTTTTTAATATCATAGTTAAATGCTAAAACTTCGAAGTTTTTGCCCCTTAATATCCAGGTGGGCCGTCTTTTAAGAAAAACACTATTCCTGAACCTTCATTACTACTGCACCAAACTATCAGAATAATTAGCTTGTTCCATTTACCTATACTAGAAGTTGATCCTGCAATGCTTTGCATACTCCAGCTGTTAAGAGGTTCCTTCCCCAGGGAAGATGTACCTTCATGACTAGCTATGTTGGAGGGCATATGCTTCTTAAAAGAGATTCCACTATCCTCACTTGAAGTACCTGCAGTTAAGAGACGGCTCTTTTCAAGGTATTGATTATTACAGAATGTCTACTCAAGCAAATTCACCACAGCCAAAGAGCATTAACAAATTCATCCAAGCCCCCACAAGCGAACTTTAGGGCGATATCACAGATTCACATTAGACACATACTTGAATGTCTAAGAAATAGCAATTCGATGAGAGATACAATTTGCAAAACTGGGAATTTTGTTGGCATATATTTTTGAAAATATTTCTAAAGGCCGGCATAGCGGAGAATTCAGGACTCGAACCACGTTAGGAGATCCCTCTGTTGCTGTTGCTGCTCCTAAACTTTGGAATTTGCTTCCTTTTGCGATATAGAGAAGCCCCTCAGTTGCCATTTTTCAAGGGCAACCAACGACGGTTCCCCCCTAAATGCATTGAAAAGCCTTTTTAGGATATCCAGAGTACTTTTAGATTTCTAGAAATGTATTCTAAGTGGCGATATAAAATTTGCATCTGTTCGGTCATCCCACGGGAATTTGAGGCTTTTCGAAATTTCAAGGACTACAGTGTTATTTTCCCGAAAAGTTTAATTTTTCTTATTCCTCTCTCCACCACTTTTTTGAATCCGAAAATTCTAGATGTTCTTTTTCTACGAAAATTAGCCTAACATAAGTAAAACAGTAAAATATGAAAAAATTAAACTTCAGAAAATCGAAAGGAATTTGTAGATAAGCTTTGAAAATAGTACCTGAATGGAACGTTCATCTAGAAATTATTAGCCGTATTCAAGCAACAGAAAATTCTAAGCAAGATTTACTTCTCCTAACAGATATTTTACAGAAAAGAGTCGTTGGGTGCCCCTGATTTTTAAGAAGGCACTCAAGCCATTTTCGTTCCAGAAAGCTTTTATGTAATTTGATGTAACGTTTTTGCTCGTTTTTAGTAGGTTTTATGCAGTTAGTACAGTTTTAGTACGCAAAGTAATTTTTCTAATTTTAGTGCTCGACATATTCATATCTTTTATATATTTAAATACTTATTTAAAAACGTTTTTTTTTAACCGCTGATGAAAATGGCGCCCATCAAGCGTCCATTGATATCGGGGCTATATAAGTTTTACTGTTATTAATAATACACATCTACAGTACGAGCAAAAATGGTATCAAGTCCTGTTGGAAAAAGTACCTTTGAATACTCTAACAATCACTTCTCCCCTTTAGATATAGTAGTGTACTAGTCAGCACTAGCAAGAGAAACAACTCATGTTTTTGCATACCTGGATTACAAGAGAATTCTGACATGTTATCCTTACGGCTATTTTGAGACTGAGAGTCTGTATTCATGGATATTTTAGTTGGATTTTCTGATGCAGCATCAGCTTTCATTTCACAGTCACTACTAAGGGAAGTTTCTGAAACAAGCTGCTCGTCGTCATAAGAGTTTGTTATTGTGTTGTTGACAATTTCGATAGAGGGCTCTTAAAAAACAAGCTTTGGTTACAATGATTATCTCCTTGAAACTTAAGGTTCAGTCAATTCCAGGTGTACCCATTCCTCCCCGGGGCGGACATTTGTTGGGTATAATATTAGGATGTGTATTCCTGGGATGGAAGCTTAGCGGCCGGCGTTCTATTCCTCTCCCCGTCCCTATTTTTTGCTCGCTCTCGTACGCCTCCTCTGCTTCTCCCACTTGGTTAAAAATAGGCAGAAATTATTTCTACACAAGCTTTCTACGAAGATACCTTCATGGTCGTCAATCATGCCTAAGGAGCTCCGGGCCTTTGGAGAATCTTCTATTGCAACAAAATGGAGAAAACATGCTATTGCGGGGATTATGTTTGTATAACTATAATCATATATGTGAAGTACTGCAAATAAAGCCTACGACCGAACGGTATGACGACCGCTCTCTACAGACCATTCCGCTGAAAACAATGTAACAGAAAAAATTATAAACGTTACAGTTTTGCTGTTATCAGCATAAGGTTCAGATAGGAATTCGCGAACATTTTTATCAAGACTTCAGGGCCAAACTTGTAAGAGCTAGATCCTATTTTTGTTTCTTTTCATTTTTCTTTCTATTGTTTCCTAATAATGTGCCACTGAAGAAAATATAATTGACATTCCTACCATGAGTCAGGCTGATCATCCTGTCAACTAACTCTTTTGTCTGTTCGGTCCAGTCGTATTCCATGCCATAGTTATCACGCAGGGTCACCGCCTCCTTAAGTCGACATTTTCTGTCCTTGGACCAGACCTTCTTGATGGCTGCGGTCCACACTGTGGGGTCCTCTGACTCAATCACAGATGCTGAACCAAAAGTTACACTGCATAGTGCTTCTCCAAAACCAGAGTTGCTGCTGATGAGCACAGGGAGACCAGCTGACATTGCCTCGAGTCCTGTTAGTCCAAACCCCTCTGTTCTCGAAGGCATGACTGCAAGATCCACCTCTTGGAATAAGCGCTTCAAACTCTCTCGGTCTTGAGCAAATCCTCTAACTCTCAGTCGACTTGCAGGAACGCCACACTCGATTAACCGCTTTGCTATTTCTTCGTGTTTTCCATCCGGTGCCCCAACAAACATAAGACGAGTATCTTGCAATGCGGCAATCGCTTTCCCAGCGATGTCAAACCCTTTTAATTCGAAATCGTCTACGTCTCCACTACCAAATACCAAGACACTGCGTTGTTGCCTTTGGTTAGGAGCCTGCCTCACAGCCTTAAACTCTTCAAATACTCCAGGAGTGAAGTCAAAGACATTGCCATCTTTATTACAGCCACAAAGGTACGAGCGAAAGGCCTCGCTCAACTTGGGTCCAACTCCTACAACATGGTCAGCCATTTTACACAGTTCTACTTCGGTCTTGTGTTTTTCTTCCCCCTTTGAAATTGGATTAGAAACGTTTTTAAACATCCCAAGCTCCTCAGGGTCTGTGTGTACCACTTGGAACCATTTGCACGTTTTAAGGTCTTTAATGATTTGTGCTTGTTTACCGAGTTTAACTCCATGACCTACGATAATGTCGATTTGCAAATCTTTCGGCGGAAAGCAAAGCCAATCCAATTGTTCAAAGCCAGGCAGAGGCGTCGCCTCCACGATCTTTACTTTGTGTTCCAGGGCTATCTTTCTGTCCTCTTGACTGCATTTTGGTAAAAAGAAAGTGATTTCCACCGCAGGGAACTTGGCTAACTGAATGGCTAATTCTCTGTTTATGGTGGAAAGCCCCTCATTACTTGGTCCCCATTGAGATCCCAAAATAGTGACTTGCACTTTGCGAGATCCATGCACTCGGTCTTCATGCGTTTGAGCCTTCTGTAAAGCAGATGCCATGCTCAAACATCAAAGTCGTCCAACATCTAAACTAAAAATTAATAGTAAAGACTCAATTACAACTACTACAATGGAGAATAGAGAAACTACTACAATAGAAAAAAAGAGAATCAATTACAGCTTCTACTGGGAAAACGGAAAAACGTTTCACTGGGTGGGACCGATTGACTTCTATCTAAACAACCTTCTGCAACATGAAAAGTAGCAGATCACATGACCAGAAAATGCATTTTCTAACCGCTGATGCTTTTTACTAGCCTTGGCTTTTCTAGGGGGAAGGGGAGGTAGTGAAGAGAAGAAGAATGCCTTTGGGTGTCAGGCCTTTCTCCCTCTTTTCTCGCCCCACTGTTTCCTCTTTATTTCCCCTTACCTCTTATTAGTATAGGTAATAGCATGATTTGTAGTGATATTTGGCATAAATACCACGAGTGATATTTCAAAATTGTTATACGTAATTTCACGGGCCGTTAGGCGCGTGAAATTTGAGACAATTTTGAAATATCACAAGTGGTATTTAAGCCAAATATCAGGTACAAATCATGCTATTATTTGTTTATACTACTACCCACAAAAGGTTTGTAATTTTCACATGCAGGTATTTCAAATTAAGCTGAAATACCACTGCTCTAAGCCAATCAAATTGCATAAATTTCTCATGTAGTAGTATAAAGGCCTGAAACTCAGATTAGCGTGCGTGTGTGTGTGTGTTTCTTTTCCTTAACAATCTAGCATAAAAACCCTTAGTGAAACTAATTCATAGCAGGCGCGGATTCACACCGGCTTCCACCGTTTTACGGAAATCGGTCAGATTTTTCATAGTAAATACATTTTAATAATAAAAAACACTTTCCGAATTGAAATCTGGCCAATATTGTCTGAATGACTCGGAAACCCAGGAAAGGAGACTCTAAGGAGTTAAAATCAAAATATTTCCTGGGGGAGCCTACTACCAGGCTATCTTTTCTAGCTGATAGCTTTACATTGCACTGAAACAGACGACGTAACTTAAAGTCACACGGGAGATCAGAATTCCTGGAACATAGTTTTTTTCCAATTCTTTATCGCATATCCAAGTCTAGCCTCCCACGCAGGCGAATTTAGGGGAGCTCGTCTTTCATCACTCCGCACAAACGCCTGCTCAACCGAAGAGGAGGAGGGATGAAAAACGAGATGCCCTAAAAACGCCTGCGTGGGAGGCTAATCCAAGTCACGATTTACAACTGGATGCTAGTGATAGAAACCCCCTCACTCCCAAAAGGGTATGGATTCTTGGTGTCTTTTTGGCCCGGAAACCTTTAAAAGAACGTGAAGGTTAGCTATGAGTGGTCTTTGCAGTTGTGGAACAAAAATATTTTTCTGGAAAAATATATAATTTCATCACGTTAGTTTAAAATATTTCTTAATTCTATATGTAAAACTAATTGAATAATATAGGTCGTAAAAGACGAACCAAACCTTTCGCCAACTTTTCTTTTCTACGAAAGGGTCATACCATAAACTGCCGCTTATAAGCCTCCCCGCTCCCCCCACCTCCCAGGTATAGGCCCCGCTACTTGAAATCAAAAAATAGATCCGATTGTAAGCCCCCTTCTAACTTTCCTTATTATGACCTTTTGAAATACGATGCGCATTTTGTTTCGAGGCGCTTCTTCTATTCCAGTTATAAGCCTTCTCGGATATCAGCCCCTACGTTTATAGGCCCTCACCTAAAACCATTTACAAAGATTTAAAAGCCCAGGTGTCAAACCCAGAAAGTATTCGGCCGCCTTCCTGAGAATACGTTGTAGACAGAGTCACAAAGGAGCAGACGAATTAACGGCGATTTCTATGCTATACCTAGTCAACTGCTTATGCAGCTCACGTTTTCTTATTCGGCTGGCAATTCTAAAAGAAATGCTTTCAGGAGGTTAGAGCGAGGCATTAACTTCGTGGAAGATCAGTACGATTTTCTGACTGCCAGGCCAGAATTCTACTCCTGGGTATGTAAATACTGCGATAGCGTGATTTGAATATCAAACACCCGAAACGAACGAACATACACAAGGACCTGATTTTATTTCATATCTTGAAACTATAGCTCAGTTAAAACGAAGAAAGAAAACGTGCGGCAGATACACACTATCTAATTGGCTCCGCGTTGAAATTCATAGACTATTAAAGTGAATTGACAGACGCGAAGATGAAGAATGATTATCATTTACGACTTGTAAATTGTGAGTTCAAATGCTCGCTCTCATGACCCGGGTATCATGACTTGTTTTAAGTTAACAAGTGTTTAAGAATTTAAAATCACACAAGCCTAACCTTTATCCATGGCCAAAAGACACACACAGCAATTCAGCAAAGGTAAATGAAAGAAGGAAGTCTTGTATTGCTGTCCCTTGGCTCACTGCACCAAGAGCGACAGCCGCCATATGACGTCAATTGGTTTTGTAAAATAAGTCACGCGAGATTAGTCACGCGAAGCGTTTAAAATCTTAATTAAAATATTTCATTTTGTAATTTTTATTTCATGTAATACTAAAAAATAAATGGAATGATGTAAACGCAGGGTTTAAAATATGGAATATTTTAATCAGATAAAAGTGAAACTGCATCATGTGTCTCCATTATTAGTGGAGCTTCTGTGTAATAGTCCAGAAATGCATGCTGGTAGTAGCAGTACTCAACTGCACTAAAATCTATTTTGTTTTAATTTAGTTTTTAATTTCTGGGTATCATTTCGTTTTGGGGGGCTCTATTGTTTTTACTTTCACTTTTCTTATAATATAAAATCAAAAAAATATAAATAAACTGGAAAAAAAGAGATAAAGGAAATAAAGCCAAAAGAATAACCTCCAAAATTCAGATTTTCAATGGACAGTTTTTAGCCACCATAGGTTAAGGTACATGAAGGTACGTATCAGAATACTAGAATTTTGTAAACTTATTGGCTGCTGAATTAAATGTCAGTTTTATGCAATAGCATTATGCACGCTTTGTATAGCTACTGTGATTCTCAGTTTTATTTCACCCTTTTCTGTCCACTGCTACTGTTTTGGATAGTGTAATTGCTTGTATTATTTTGGTGGTATGATACTACAACTCATGAGGCATAACATTATAGGCATTATGTTATTACAGACGATACAAAACAGTAGTCAGGTACTCTAAAGTTCACTGTTTAAAGTTTTTAGCCGAATCCCAGTTTAGTCAAAAAACCAAATTTTGGTTCTTAGCTCCATTACTTTGGACATGTAAGGACTCTAACTTTTGCAAAATACCATAGAATTTTGCTTAATCATTGTCAGCTTGACGACGTCCATTGGGCCACTGCATAACCCTCGGACATACACACAGACCCCCACTGTGGTACAACGGGGTTGGGTTGATGGAAACCCGCCCCCTTTAGTTTTTGATATGTTGCAGTGTTTCAACAGAATTTTGCCTTCAGTGGAAAGCCTTTGATCTTCTCTACACAGTGAGGTTTATTTTGTGGTTGGTGGCACTGCTGGATTTCTGTGACATCTGAAAACAAGGTTGCCATCTTGGCCAGCAGATTGGGTTTTATCAAGAATTTGCACTTAACTTGTAACATAACACATAATTATTTATGTTGCATCATTTTATCAACAAGTTTTACTTTTAGTGTTGAAAAAAGTTGACAGCTACAGAAAACTTCAGGTGCTGATGTTTTATTGCCGAGGAAAAAAATCAGAAAAACCTTAGGCCACCCCCCGTACATCTGAGGGTAACATATGCCTAGTTTTTTTAAAACATTACAGGAAAACAGTCTTTTACCCAAGACAAGAAACAAACTTCTTTTTTTATATTAAATATAGGGAAAAAAGGTTTCAGTGCAAAGACCTTTTGCAAAAACAACAGAACAGCTCCAATGCTCAAAAGCAGGAAATTTCACTCCTGATTCTGGTTACATGATTCTTTATTTTCAAGGGTCTGTTTATTAATTCACCTTCTGAGACAGAAAAAAATATTCGCTGGGATTAATTCCAAAACATGGAGTTTCAACAAGCACATGGAAATCTCCTCTGCAGTGGAAAGAATGGTTTTGCATGGTGGATCTAAGCTTGGAAAAAATGAAACTTACGATGCAGACACACTTATAATTCATGATACTGCATGTGCTCACATTTTTATCTCGACCACCTTTTATACACTTTAATATAAGTTTATGCTTATCTTGCCTGAAGTACACTGCCTCTGTTTGTCTCTACACCATTAAATACAAAGCCAGTACATGTTCACAGAAACTTTTTTGCTACAGATATGTGAACAGCCTCTTGATTCAACTTAGCAGTTAGTAAATAATCAGCATAAGCGTCATCAAAAGTGTCGAGTCCCTCTTTGCCATAATATATATACAGTTAAAAATATAATGTCAGACAACCCATGGCCAAACTGTCTTTATAGCAAAAATGGATTGGAAATTAATAGCGTGCGATCATGAATTTTGAAATTTGAAATATGTATGTATTGTGAAATTTACCTTCACCACCGGTTTTATCTCTTTCGAAGTTTAGCTCCAATGTTAAAACAAATTCAGCTGTTGAGGTGAGAATTTCAACTACATTAGCACTTAAATCCTCGTTCCTGCAGTTCTGCCATGCTCTTGGCCTTAAAATCAATCTTGTTCTTCTGCTTAGACAGTTTTGAACTTTAAACCATCCGACTTTCAAACAGCAAAAGGGAAATAAAATGTATAAATTACAGTCAAGCCAGGTCAACTGTACCCCCCAAGATCCCATTGATGAGTTTATTATTCGAAAGTTGAATCTGTTGGTCGTTGTAGATTTCAGATTCATCTCTGCATTTGTAATGAGCGGTGAATTCACACGCAATTCAGTTACGAAATTTCTACCAGCTCAGTTTCCCTGAATTTGATGTAAATGTCTTCTAACAAATTTAATCCATTCAAAGATTTTCGATCTGACCAAATACAGGGAAGTTCTCGTAAAATATTCACTGCTCATTGCGCATGCAGGAATGCCGATTTGAATTTG